CTGTGCTACCTGGTGAGGATGTGTATTCCTCCTTAATGTAGAGCACCACACCCCCGCCTTTCCTCCCTGTCCTGTCCCTCCTGTACAACCTATAGCCCTTGATATCCACTGCCCAGTCGTGCGTTGGGTCCCACCACGTTTCAGTGAGGGCTGCTATGTCTGGGTTGGTGTCGGCTACCAGGAGGGTAAGTTCCTCCTGCTTGTTTCCCATACTATGAGCGTTTGTGTAGGAGCATTTGAGGCCTCCTGAGGATGTGTGCACTGGCCCCCTATTCTCAGCATTGTACATTGTACCTTGCACTGTACAAGTTTCTTTCAGGCACTAGGACGCAGAGCAGAGCCCCTGTGAAGTGACTTTAGGATAGTGCTCCATGGTACAATTCCCCCTTCTGACTGGAATGAGTAATGTAGTTCAGAACCAAACTATTTGTTAAATATTTATCTTTTTTTCTGTTTAAAAGCCTGGTGCATATAAAATGCTTAAAATGATAAAATACTACCCTCTACTCTTCAGTATATACTGACATGACACTTTTTTTTTTATATATATATTAGAATGAAGTTCCCATCCACTGTGTAACCTGCAATTGTGAATTTCAGTCTCGGAATAAGCTGTTTGAACACTTAAAGGCCACAGGCCACGCAAAAGCAGTGCAAGCACCAACTCTGAATGGAGCTGTGAATGCCAGAAGCAAAAAAGAAAAACGTAAAAACAGATAGGACTTTGGCTGGCAATCTTTGGACAGTCAAACACGGATACTCGCAAAACCCGTTCAGAACCAAAAGGCATTGTGTCCTGTAATCTGAATTAAAGGGCCCGGCTAAACTTGCAGAATGGAAAAGCATTTTTATCCTGTGCAGAAAGTGGTGTTTATTTTTTTTACCAACATTTAACTGAATTTTCAGAGGCTGTCCCAGTGGCTTTAAAGTCTTGAGAAGCTGACATCTACAGGCTGCTGTTCCTGAATATTTGTTGGACTCTATCACTAAAAAATGTACAGGGGGAAGAAATAAATTATTTTAACACTTCTATTGCGCTCTTTATTTTACAGAGCTCATTTCATGAATATGATGAGATGGGAAGCAAATGAACTGTCTTTAATTATCTGCTTCTTTTAGACCACTCTACAAATATGAGAGAGCCCAAACTGGCCTGTATCTTGGCACAGTTCAAATCTTGCTGTGCTCCTTTATTTGCCTTGAAATATAAATTAAAGAGCTGCTTGTGGGAAAAGACCCAACTTCTCTTTATGGCTAGTTCATCTCTAAACTATAAAAGGCAGAGTTACAAAGAAATGCAACACACAAGGTCAGTATGATGCCTTTATTGGACCAAAAGTTTTTGTGTGGGGGCTAACATTCGGAAAGTGTAACTTGCAAACGCAGCATCCTTGGGCGGTAGGCAGGATGTTTAGTAGAAGTCTTGCAATAGGTACTCCATGGCAAACACTATTGAACTCCTTAACCATGTTTGTACAGGGGAGCACAGCACTTTGTTTCACCGGCTGTGGATGGTTGTCCTGGCTAAGTGAAGCAGGGGTGCCGACACAACCCAGAGAGCCGCTGCCAGTGAGAGTAGAGGGGAGACGGCTGTGAGAGAGAGCGTTCAGGGGCAAGTTCTGAGGTAGGTGTCATATGTGGCTACTTGGCAAGAGCTTCATCTTCTCAGAGGGTTTCACAGAAACTGCGCCCTACAACCCAATAGCAAAGGCTCGTGGTAGAACGTGAGTATGCTCTGTTCTGCCTCTGTTTCACTGCTACAGCTATTTCCTACTACATAAAGGAAAATTAGGCTCTTGATAAGTATCATTATAGGAGTTAAATGGTTTGTTGTGTAATGCTGCCTTACCACGCTGAGCATATCTCGTCTCCTTGAATGGGAAAACAAGGACTTGTTACCATTTCTTCACTTCGCAGCCACACAGCCAAACGGGGCTTTTCATTGAAATGGAAGGGTAATCACTTTTAGTTTGCTGGTGTAGAAGCATATCTGTTCTAGGAACAAAATTTAAATGCTAAAATCTACTAGGAAGTCTATCTAAAAGCAAGAGAGCTTAAAATTCAATGAAGTCATTAGTTACTCAGCAATGTCACTGTGAAAAGTAAATCTCTGCATGTCAACTCCAAGTCAATCAACGTTGCAGCCAGAATTCCATCAGCTCCTTCTGAGCTGAGTCGCCAGGATTAAAGTTGGATTGGAGGGGGAATCGCCACAGCTTGAACTTTAAATTTAAAGATGCTTGACAGCCAGCACTGTTAACTACAGACAGGCTCCGCCTGAGAACTTCCTGCCCAGTACTGATAGTATGAAGTGTGAGTCAGTGGTTTCCTGCCAAAGCTGGGATGAGAGATTAGTCTTGCAGGTACTCTACTCCCAGTTGACTGGGAAGGCACTAATTAATAACTCATTTGGCTTTGTGTGTTCACAATAGGCAAAACTGCTCTTGTGATACAGGACATTAGAGTAAGTGAGTTCTTGTTCAGCCACCAAATTAAGGAATCTTCCAAAATCATTTAAATTCACAAAGTGCTCAGTAAAATAAGGTCTGATTTTCTTCATCCAATGACTTTCCTGCAGATTGCATTATAGTTAGAGGACTATTCCAGAGTATTGATTATGCGCGCATTAAATACCTGAGCTTCATCTGAGGCAAGGGAACTGTTTAGGGTCTATTTTGCAGCTTTTCTTTCCATGTGTCTCATTAGTGCAGCATGAAATACTTCCAATGCAAAGTCTGCATCTTTTTTAGTGATGCACATTGGTGGTTTAATTCTGAAGGTCTGAAGAGAGAAAGGTTTGATGAACATTTGATGCACAGTCACCCAGTAAAACTACCCCTGCATCCCAATATAATCAGGAATAAGTAACATGCCAGTCTTCTTACAGATTACCAGTAATAATAATATCCATTCAAGCTTAAGGGTAGCTTGAATGACATGCAAAATAAATTAATTTCATTTAGTCTTTCACTTTTAAGGCTGATTTAAGAGTACAGGCACAAGATGGGTATGGTGGTTAATGCAAAATGTATTTGGTCTAATGGGGGAAACATTGTGTAACACATGAGTTTAGTAGAAATTCCTGTTTCTATTCTGAAGTGTTCTGAGATGCAACTAAACAGCAGAAAATGAAGTTTATATCTCAAGATGCTCCCCCCTCTATAAGCAGCCAACATCAATTTGTACCACATCCCAAACTGAATCTTCCCTTAAGTCTCCTGAGCAATTCAGTCTCGTAGCCTGACTTGAAGTACAAACGCTGGGCTTGACCAGAAATATGGGGGCACCAGTGCCTTACTAATACCTTAGTGTGGTATTTAGGGCACTCTCTGGGAGGTCGATTTGAGTCCCAACAGGCTAAGGAAGAATTGAACTTAGATCTCCCACAACCTACATAAATACTCCTAACCACTGGGTTAATAGGGGTAATAGCAGCAGCACATCTATCATTTGGAAAAAGTAACCCTGGCTCCATTTCTCTAAAGGTGCCTAGGCCAAGTGCAGTGAAATGCTGAGTAAGGCATATAAGCCCTAGGGAAAGGTAGGATTCATGACATGCTTCTCAGCAGTTTCCTGTTGGAGGGCTCAGTGGGCTAATTATTTTGGTTCCTGTCCCAGTCTAAGTCAGGGTTCAGGAGTCTGACTGGGAGGTGGTGGCTAAAGTTTTAAACACTGCAATGCTCAGCTTCCAATTCCCTTGTTTTGGGTCCAATCCTAAATCATTCCTATACTTGCAATTCCACTCGGTAAAGCCTAATGTACCTGCTGCTACTCACACATGGACTACAGCATGACTTCGATTATATCATAACTTTTAAGCTCTCCAGTTGTACATTAGAGGCTCCTGTACCTGACCATAAATTCCTCCTTTGCCAATCAATACTCCCATGTCTTTGCAGTCTTCCCAGATCTCACCTATCTCTTCAATGGGAAGAGGCTGACGACCATCCTGTGAAGAGAGACCATTTAGCTTTTATGTTATTTGAGTAGATTAAATCCATGAGGCACTAGTGTTGCATTGACCAACCCCAGTGAAAAGCTTACTTGTCTATCTTTCAGGATGCAATTACCCAATTTCAAACAAACACACAAGTGCTGTTTTGCAGTGTATTAAAAATCAGTGAAGCATTTTGGGACTTTGAATCTTCTAACTCACTTATAGTAAGTGTAACGTCACCTGTTCTATGGATTCTTTTTAAGAGGAACAGTTTCTTGTGGCCACGTGGCCCATGAAGGTAGAGCTTTAGCACTGTTATAAATCACAGGGCATGAGCCTTGTTGTTACTGACCTTGTCCTTCACCATTTCTATTCCAATCATGAGCCCTTTGCCACGGACGTCTCCAATGATCTCAAACTTATCCTGCACTTTGGCTAACTCCAACAGCATGTAAGTCCCCACTTCTTCACTGTTCTTTTGTAGACCATCTTCTAAAATGGCCTGGTTAGAAATGACAGACATCCAGGTTGAAGAAAAAGGATTAACTTTAAAATTGGATTGCCTTACACACCTGCACCGAATGTGTAACAGCCATCTCTATTTCCCTTAGCAAAGACACAGCAGGCTAATAATGCAAAGTTTTACCTCCACTAGTATGCTAGAAAATACTGGAATGGCAATCTGCACTTGTCAAACGTACACTGCTGCTTTTTTTCCCCATTATTTATTTACCTAAGTCAGTCAGTGTGAGCTTTATACATGAATTTTGATCATTGTAAGTCTTCTAGTACAGTTCAACTCTCCTTTCTCATGTCATATCAGCATCAAGCTATGTATGTACTTACAGCATAAGTCTATTCTGCTTTCTAAAGCTTCCTGGCAAGCACTTACATTTAAAGTATATACAGAAATCTTTAATAGTAAGAGTGAATTAAAATGAATTTGTCTTATTTCTAGCTTCCCCCAGCTTCTAACACAAACTATAACTGTATTTAATTATTGACATACATCGACCACTTTATACATTGAAAATTTGCTTTATGAAACAGATGGG